TGTCATGTTTGCGCAGAGCGCTGTGGCTCGCTACGCCCGGATTTCCGGGCGGGGGCTTCCGCGGGCTGGGGACGTCCTGCTGCTCGAGCCTGTAACCAGGCCGTACTACGTGGTGGCTCATCGGACTGCAGTTTTTTTGTAACACACCGTATTGCCGGGTTTTGGTGGCTTTTTCTGACACAGTCTTGGCCGTAACAAATCGTACTGCAGGGTTTGGGTGGCTCTTTCTATCATTTTGTGGCACGGACCTTTAGGTATAATGTGTGGGTTCTGTTGGGTCAACTTTCGTTGCTTTCCACTCTGGAGGTTGTTTTGCAAACACCGTCCATCAAACAGCCGTGAATTTTTCTCGCGGTTGAACCAACAATCGGTCGCAACACAGTGAGATGCTATGTTGCCTTTGTCACGCTGTGACAAATCCAGACCGCGAATGTTGTGGGGAATGTAAGCGGACCTCCGATGATACAGTTCTCAAGGGCGTAAGGCAACGAAGAGATTTTGATATGTGGTTACAGACCGTGCCTAGACCTCTGGAGCGGTTCGTCGAGTAGCACATGACAACAGAAGTTGTCACACCTTCGTCATATATTTCTGACGATCGCGCAACCTTTTTCATCTGCTTTCATATCGGCGGCGCGGTCCGCGATTCGGAGTTCATTCGTCTCCTCCACTTTTCAACACATGGAAGAGAGCGTTCGATCAAAAAGAAGGGACGGAGCTCTTCCAAACTTCAAACCTGGACAAGAGAAGCCTGGTCCTCCTTTGCGGCCTTCAAAGGGCAAGTAGTAGCCTTCTACCTCATCCTCTGAATCAAGCAAAAAACTCAATCCAAGCTACTCTCGGTAAGAGAAGACAGCTTCCTTCCAGAAGAGCTCTTCATCTTTTGGCAAGTCTTCATCCTAATCCTACGAAAACTGAAGAGAGCTCGCCCCTGAAAACATGGACAGAGCTCCTATGGTATTCAAAAGCAATGCATAAGTTCTGTACTTCATCCTCGACAAGATTAAAGCTTCCTTCAACTTAAAGAGACAGACGAGGGCCCCATTTCAAATTAGCACACAACCCCATCCAACTTCGCGAGAGAGAAGAGTGCTCATCCTCGACAAGAAGAGACTGAAAGCTTCCCCCAATCTGATGAGACAAAAGAAAACTCCATTTACAAAATGACAACCATGTCCCTACAAGATATCGAGGAAAAGAAAAGCTCCGTTTGTTTACGCCCCAGTCGGCAAGGAGAGACAACGCTTCTCTACAGGTAAGAAAAGGAAATCATGGCTATCCCTTCCACCTTTTCAATATGTGGAAATGAACAGAAGAGATAGCGGAGCTCCTACCCAACCTTCAAAGAGAAAAATCCTGCCCTTCTCTCTCGTTGAAAACTCCCCCACCTCATGCCACCAACAAGAAAAGAGCTCCTCCCCAAGATTTTCGTGGTAAGAGAAGAAAGCTTCCTTCTCGAAGAGAAGTCCATTACCTGTTGGGAGGCCGCTTCTCAGTCTTGCGAAAACTGGAGGGACGTCACTCCTATCCGTAGCCAGAGAGGGCAGAAACGACCCCCCCCAACAGTGTGTGAGTTCATCGAAAACAGGAAGAGAGCTCGCTCCAACTTCACAAGAAAGAAACTTGGCTGCCCCAAAAACCTCTTGGTAAAGGATGAGATCCCGTGGCAGGTCCTCCGCCCCAACAATTGATAAGACAAGCCCCTGTAACTTCTCAGAAAAACACGCGCTTTGTTTACCTTTCTGTCGACGACAAGAAGACTCCTTTGTCTCTTAGTCAGCGGCGAAAGCTCCTGACCATTTCCTCTCCACTCCTCTTCAATACATTGAAGCGAGCGTTCAATCTAAAAGAAAGGACGGGGCTCTTCCAAACTTCAAACCTTGACAAGCGAAGTCTGGTCCTCCCCTGCGGCTTTCAAAAAGCAAAGAGAAGCCTTCGACCTCATCCTCGGAAACAAGCAGAGAACTCGATCCAAGTTTCTCTTGGTAAAAAAAGACAGCTTTTTTCTAGAAGAGAGCTCCTTTGCCTGTCAGTAGAGGAAGAAATACACTGGCACGAGAGAACAGAGCTCCAGAAGCTTCCAAAACAAAAGCCCTCTCTACCTCGTCCTCTTCAAAAACACACTGAGAGCTTCCTCCAATCTAATGAGACTGAAGCAAACTCCATCTCAATAAAAAACAAAGAAGCCCTCCAAAATATCGAGAAAAAAAAAGCTTCGTTTACCTACTAGTCGGCATAAAGAAACCTCCTTTTTTTCTAAGTCGCTTTTCAATTTTGAGAAGAGTGAGAGACCTCACCCCCAGCCAGAGAGGACAGAGACGCCCCTACCCTCAACAATGAAGCAACACCTTATCATCCAAAACCAAAAAGAAAGCTCCCTCCAATTTCATAAAAAAGAAGAAGGCTCCCATGGCAGGTCCCCTACCCCCAACGACGCAGAAGACAAGCCCCTCTAGCTTCTCGAGACAAATTACATAAGCCCTTCCAATTCCGCGAAATAGGAGATCGCTCCACTTATCCTTCACTCGGAGCTCCTGATTATCCCTTCTTCCTCTTCAGAAGTTGGACTGGAACTTACCAGACAAAAGCAAAAGAAGAAAAGACTGGGAGCTTCCTCCAACCTGATGTGACAGAAGACAGAGCTCCATCTACAAAATGAAAACCATGTACCTACAAGTTATCGAGAACAAGGAGAGCTCCGTGTACCCTTCAGTCGGCAAGAAGAAACCAAGCTTCTCTACAGGAAAAAAACGAGATCCTGAATATCCCTTTTACCTTTTCAAGATGTGGAAGTGAACCTAAGAGATGGTGAAGCTCCCACCCAGCTTCTTTTCCTGCTTTCAACCTTGAAACTCCCCCACCTCATGCCGCCAACAAGAAGAGAGCTCCTCCCCAAGAGTTCCGTGCTTAGAGAAGAAGGCTTCTTTCTAGAAGAGATGTCCATTATCTATTGGTAAGCCGCTTCTCAAGACTAGACTTCACTCCTAGCCACAAAGGACAGAGACGACCCCCCCCCCCCCCCAACAGTGTGTGAGTTCCAGGAAGAAAGCTCGCTCCAATTTCACAAGAAAGAAGAGGGCTGCTCCAAAAACCTCTTGGTAAAGGAAGAGATCCCGTTGCATGCAACAATTGAAAAGACAAGCCCCTCTAACTTCTCAGGAAAACACGCGCTCTGTTTACCTCTCTGTCGACAACAAGAAATCTCCTGTCTTTTTTAGTCAGCGGCGAGAGCTCCTGACCATATCCTCTCCACTCCTGTTCAGTACATTGAAGCGAGCGTTCGCTCTTCCAAACTTCAAACCTTGACATTCGAAGTCTGGTCTCCCCCTGCGGCCTTCAAAAAGCAAAGAGAAGCCCTCGACTTCACCCTCGGAAACTAGCAGAGAAGCTTTTTTCTAGAAGAGAGCTCCTTTGCCTGTCAGTAGAGGAAGAGATACACTGGAACGAGAGGACAGAGCTCCAGCTTCCAAAAAAAAGCCCTCTCTACCTCGTCCTCGACAAGAACAGACTGAGAGCTCCCTCCAATCTAATGAGACAGAAGCAAGCTCCATCTCAATAAAAAACAAAGAAGCCCCTCCAAGATATCGAGAAAGAAGAGAGCCCCGTTTACCCCTTAGTCGGCAAGAAGAGACCTCCTTCTTTCTAGGCAAAAGGAGATGCTGACTATCCCCTCTACCCCTTCAAAAGACGAAGAGAGCATACGCTCAAACAAAGGATGGAGCCCTTCAAGCAAAGAGGTTTGGCCTTCTTGAAAAGAACCAGAAGTCCTCCACTTCATGCTCTAAATGAAAAAGAAGAGAGCCCCCCTTGACATTTTCGTTGTAAGAGAAGAGAGCTTCTTTCTAGAGAGCTCCATTTACTCTTGGTAAATCGCTTCTCAACTTGAGAAGAGTGAAGACACCTCACTCCCAGCCAGGGAGGACAGAGACGCCCCCCCCCACCCTCGACAATGTATGAGTTCTTTACTCTTTACCTAACCATCGAGAGAACCAAAGGAAAGCTCCTTCCAGTTTCATAAAGAAGAAAAGGGCTGATCCTTTTCCACTCGGTCAAGGAGGCAGTCACCCGCCGGGATTCATTGAAAAAATAAAGACCCTGGCGAGGCCGGCCGTCGCCCAGCACGAAATTTTAAATTTTTTGAAAAAATAAACACAAATTTTTCAATAATTTCGATTTTGCAACAATTTCCTTCAAAAGGAAAAAAATTTGAAAACATTGAAATTTTTGAAAAAATAAAGACCCTGGCCAGGCCCGGCCGTCGCCCACCAGGAATCTTTAAAATTTTTGAAAAAATAACCAAAAATTTCAATTTGTTCAGTAATTTCCTTCAAAAGGAAAATTTTTGAAAAAATTGAAATTTTTGTCGCCCACCAGGTATCTTTAAAATTTTTGAAAAAATTGAAATTTTTGAAAAAATAAAGACAAATTTCTCAATAATTTCAATTTTTTCAATAATTTCTTTCAAAAGGAAAAATGATTGAAAAATTGAATTTTTGAAAAAATAAAGACCCTGGCCAGGCCCGGCCGTCGCCCACCAGAGAAATTTGTCTTTATTTTTTCAAAAATGTCAATATTTTCAAAAATTTTTCCTTTTGAAAGAAATTTTTGAAAAAATTGAAATTATTGAGGAATTTGTCTTTATGTTTTTAAAATTTCAATAATTTCAATTTGTTGTGCACTGGTAAGTTTAGGAACAGTCCTAATAATAGTAGTTGTGGCCCTAAGAAGAAAAGAAGACTGATACCGATACTTGTAGTGATATTGGTTAACAATGAAAACATAGTATTGGATGAGTAATGGGAAAAGAAAGTACAATGTGAAAGTAACAATGACAACAATCATTGAAACAAGAGTAGGTGGAAAAACGCAATGATTATCGTGATCATCGTAACAGTATGACTAATGTCAAAAACTGAAACCCACGTAGCCACTGTGAACCCAGGATCGGTGACTTCACCCTTACTGCCTTTCTTGTGCTGGATGTTCTCGTGCGAGGAGCGATGTTGCGATGCAAGTCCTGGAAGGTGCCAATGAACTACATTGGCGTTGTCGTGTTTGGGATCTCACGCTTGGAGATAGTTCTGTTCCATGTCACGCGTGCCATTCTGGCAGCGAATCCGAGTCTTTTCCAACTGTTGTGCATCGAGAAACTGGCTAGAGCAAGTCGTATGGTTACCATGAAGAGCGGGATGACTTCCTTGCATCTGCTCATACGCTGCCTGGGCGCCAGCACGAACATCTTCTTGACACTGGTTTTTTGCTGGATCGCCTGCTTTCAATGCGTTTCGGACATGGTTGCTAGCACATTTTGCCGGGACTTCATCAACAAGGAAAGCCAGTCGCTGCAAGTGTGTGTTATTGAAGCCTCTGCAGAGATCGAGGCTGCGGAGGTGGAGCATTTCGAGGCCTTGGGCATCCAAGCGAGCCGTGCATGGTCCACATGCATGGAGCAGCTCTTTGCAAGGCAGCAGGTGTCAGACGCAGAGGCTGCAGTTCGGGAAGAGGTGCGGAAGGTGAAGTGTCGTCTGGAGAAGATGCGAGAGCTAGCGAAGGCTGCTGCGGCAGGGGCTGAGGGAGCCGCAGAGCGAAAAGTGGAAGCGAGCCGCATCTGCCGCACAGAAGCCTCAGTGGAGCGGACTTTGGAGTGCTCGACGCACTGCGCGGAGCTGGCGGCTCCTGCCGAGCGAGCCGTGGCCCAGCAGGTGGAGGCCTTTGCTGCCCTCTGCGAGCAGCGAGCCGAAGAAGGCAGCAGAGGAAGGGGCCATGGCCGAGAAAGTTTGGATCTTCGGGGAGGTTCCGGCTCTAGGAGAAGGAGCGGAAGCTCATCCAAAACGAGATCCACCGAGCCCAACGACGAACGATCGAGGTTGAGAGCGCCATAAATGAGACCGTTTCCTACAGTTACAGAGAGAGGAGCACTCGGGAGCTGAATTGCATGGAGAAGGTAGAGCAGATCGAATCTCCGCCTTCGCAGATCACGAATCTCCCGACAACCATGGTCCCCGGAGACCCAACTAGAATTTATTCAGAAACGAAAAATATCTTGAATTAGATGAATATTCAAATTCCATTCATAAAATATTCAAGTTTCATATTACATCTGATCTGCGAATGAGATACAGGAGATTTGCCAGATATCTCTGCTTGCTGGATCTTAAGTCTTCTATCAGTAGTTGTACGGACTCAGGCTGGCGATTTCTAAGACCACAGGGCTATAATTTTAACGCTACGCCGCCCGCCTCGGCTGTATAGCGGCAGGGCGAGGGGGCAGTCGATGTTTTTTTTATGCTAGGGCGGCCTGTCAAACCCCAACCTTTACACGGTTGTTGATACGAAGTGCGAGGAGAATGGGTAGGGGAGGGGGGGCGAGGGAAGGGAGGGGAGGGGGGGGGTGAAACCATAAACCTCTAAAGGGGTAGCTCTAACAGGTACCTACAGCAATGGCTGCATGCTCATACATATACATTCCGCTGCCCATTGGCTCACAGTGGTTTTACCATATTGAGACAAGACAAGCTCTCCTTGCGTAGCAAGACAAAACAACTACTGTCCGTGTGCAGGGCGCTGCCCTTTGATCCTTAGGGAATAAACTGGTCATACACCTCCTAACAAGGAGCATTTCCTTGTGGGTGTATCGGCACAGTTTTCTGGTAGCGGAGCCCGGAAAGGGCCGCCCGCCTCCTAAAGTCCGCTACAGCGGTCGGCCTCGCCGAACGCTTAACCAAGCGGATAAGAGGCAGCACAATGTCGAGCTCGCATAGCGAAGCCGACGGCAGTTCCCAATCCTCCGGGGGATATGAGAACGAAGAGACCTCCCAAGGTCCAGCCACTTATGTCGCACAGTCATATGCAACATCTGACCGCATGCTTGCATCATTAGGCATAACGCCCAAGATCGCGCCTGCCTATGATGGCACCACCTCGTGGTTTGAGTATGAACAGTTGATTGACGACTGGTGCGACATAACAACGCTGGATGACACCAAAAGAGGTCCGTCTCTCAAGACGAGGCTCTCCGGATTGGCCGCAGTACAAAAGGAATCACTGAACCGAGAAAGGCTTGCAGCCCCAGATGGAGTAGATTACTTCAAGAAGAAGATGCGTCCATTTTTCGTGAAAGGAGAACAGTACGTTTTCCTGTGGCGTTTCCTCGGCCTATTCAAGGCATGGAAGGGCAACCAAGACTTTGTGACTTGGATTGCCAAGTTTGAGATCGTGCTACAGCGCGTGAAAAACTCATGGATGGATCTCTTACCAGAGATAGCTCTGGAGGATGCCCATCCAGATTTCATGCAGGCTGTGCAGGCAGATCAAACCTTCTTGCGCCTACAGGATGCAACCGAGAGAGACACATACGCCGCACGTTTCTTCGAAACATGGAACAAGGAACGCCTTGATAATCATCGAAGAGCGTTTCCTCTAAATGATAATCTCCTAGCTCTCCTCTTCCTAGTGCAGTCCGACCTAAATGAGATGCAACGTGAGAGGTTGGTAACAGCATTGACCAACCAAGGTCACCGAATTGAGACCTACACGTACCCTGTGGTACGGCAGACCATGTTCGATCAGTTCTCAACGACCAGAACTGGTCTGCAGGATCCCAACATTCGGCACTCTTCTCACAAGAAGGACCGCCATGGAAGGAGAGACCAACGCCGCAAACGCGGAGGTCGAAACTTCCTCATCCTCGATCAGGGTGAATACGATGGAGTCGATGGATTCTGGCTCCAAGACGAAGACACCCTTGAGGAAGGCTTTCTTGCCGCCGAGGATGAAGAAGCTGTCTTCTGGACAGTTGATGACCATGAGGCCTTCGTTGCAAGGAGATTCAAAAAGGGAAGAAGACCAAGAATGCGTCCCGGATCACCGGGAAGAGCAAAGGGTGGCAAGCGAAAAGGACGTGGCCGTTTTAGGTCATACCGCGGAAAAGGGAGAGCCAACCAGGCAGAACATGATCCAACTGATTCCAGCTATTTCGGTAAAGGTAAAGGAAAGGAAAAAGGAAAAGGTGGAAAAGGCAAAGGAAAAGGAAAGGACAAAGGAGATAAAGGAAGCTCCTTCAAAGGCGCAAAGGCAAAAGGCAAAGGTAAGGATACAGCTAAGTCTGCCTCCTTACAAGGAGACCAAACTGGATCTCCACAGGCCTATGAGAGTTCCACCGCACCGAGCTGGGATTCATGGTATGAGGACAGTTATTATACTGACTCCAGTTGGAATTATGCCGCTTATGACGATCAAACGTCTTATACATACTATGCATCACAAGCCTCACGAAGAAAAACACGGAGAAAGAAGAGAAGAAATCAAGCAGGATCATCAGGTAGAGGCACAGATCCGAGCGCGCACCAAGAACCCGTGTTCAACTCATCAGTGAGTTACGTGCCCCAGGTCTTTGAACCATCCGAGGGGCAAGGTGTTGAAACTGCAACAGCGGTGTTTCCGTTGCAGCACACCGTCCTATCTGCTCTCACAGAGCGGATCAATCTTGATAAGAACCCTACCTTTGTCATACTTGACTCAGGTTGTACTAGGGCTATGGGTTCCCGCTATGCGGTGAACAGGCTTATCAAGGCCGTGAAGCAACGTGCCCCAGGCATGATTGATTTCACTTTCTCACCTTCGAACACGAAGTTCTCTTTCGCAGATAGTGAAACAGCTCTTATCAAGGAGCGTGTAACTCTATGGTTCAACACAACTCCAAGAAGAGATACAACCATAGAAGTTCTGGATCAGGGGAGAGTTCCCATTTTGTTCTCCATCGAACAGATGAGGAATCTAAGAATGACCCTCGAGTGTAGTCCCACAGCTGACCTAGCAACGTGTGAAGCTTTCGGTTTGTATAAAACCCCTCTTCCGGTTAGTACCAATAACCATTTGGTATTGGACCTTCTAGGCTTCACTTCCACCAGGAAGTATCTCCCTAAATCAGGTACGTCGTTCAATGCGACAGAGACTGCTTTAGGAGCTAGGAAGCCAAAGGAAGAAGGAAGACCTTATACTAGGATCCCGGAAGGTCGCTGTCCAGCCTGCGCAGGACAGAAAAGGGCTCATACGTACCTCAAAGGTTGCGATAAGGCACCTGACGGAGCAGCTGATCCACCACCGAAGGGCATTCTAGGTAAGAAGAAGCCTCTTCCATCTGATCCGGCAGAATCATCTGCCAAGAAACCCGATCCACCAGAACTATCTGGTGATGCTCCTGAGCCTTCCGAACCGCCAGAACCATCATCAGGCTCTAGAGACAAACCAGCAGAATCATCTGCACCGCACGAACCTCCAGAAGAAGAAAAACTTGAGGTTCCACCTGCGAAGACAAAGATTCCAAAGGGTCTTAAAAACCTTCTGAAGAAAACCCGCAAATATGCGGTCAAACCTCCTGTTGAAGAGAAGTCTATGGTCCCAGGAGCTGATGACGGGACGGAGGTAAGACCACTTGAGTCAAGAGAATACCCGGCTCCTGGTACAGACTCACCTACAGGTGAAGAGATTGTCGCAGAACCATCGCCATCTCTTCCCATTGCTCTTCGCAGGATTCATGAGAAGCTTAAGGACCCTGTAGAACTCTATAAGCTTCACCTTAAGCACCGTCATATGAGTACGGATCAGTTCAAGCGACGCACGAAAGCCTTACAGATCCCAAAGGAGATATATGAGCTATATGACCAACTGGTCAAAAAGTGTTCAGCCTGTCAGGAACACGTGAGAGCTCCTTCAAGAGCGAAGATTTCCGGTTTAAGATCAGAGACTTTCGGTGATCTCACCTTCGTAGATCACGGTGAGCTTCCAATTCCCGGCAAGGATAGTCGCTTAATATTTCTTATTCTCTATGACGGAGCAACAAACCTGTTGACTTCCGAAGTAGTCCAGGATAAAGAAGAGCATACTACAATGTCGATTATGAATGACTACTTTGAGAAATTTCAGATCAACCCAAAGGTTGTAGTTGGAGATCAAGCATTCATGACTCCAAAAATGGAGGCTTATTACAATCGGCAGAATATCAAGCCTGTAGCAACAGGACCTGGAACACCATGGCCCAACAGGGCCGAAGCTGCTGTAAGATTGCTGAAGCATCAGATTAAGATCATACTTCAGATCCTGAAGGATGGTGACCCGCAGTATAACGGAATCACCATGAAGTATGGCAACCTCGTTCGACAAGCATGTTTGGCAAGAAACTCTTCGATTACCTATGGAGGAGTTACTCCTTTAGAAATGGCCTTTGGTAGGCGTCCTCGAGATGTTATAACACCAGAGAACGCTGATCCCAATCAGTTGACAGGTAATCCAACTGATACGGAAGTCACTGCGAGAGCCATTAAGGAGCTTGCCAACAGGGCGTACCAAGAGGCACGCCAATCTGATGATCTACGCAGAGATCTTGCGGCCAGACTGTCAATGACCGAAGGACCTTTCTCTTTGGGAGACAAGGTTTTCTACTGGTCAGAGGATAAGTCTAAGATTGGATCAACTGGGTCCAAGCATGGATCTTGGCTAAAAGGAAAGGTGATCTCCGAACTCGGAGGATCCATGGTAGGTGTGGATCTTGGAACACGCATCGTCCGCGTTAATATCTCAAAACTGAGGAAAAATTATGACATAACATCTGATGTGGAGATTCCTCTCGCGCCTGATGAGGAAACTCTGACGTCAGAAGGTTCTGATCACGCAAGTTGCATGGTCACCTTTGATGCTTCCCTGCAGTCGACAGACCTAACGGTTCCGCATCAAGAGTGTCACTGGCAGGTCACCAGCACTGGGAAGATTGACTTCCTAGAACTCTACGGTGGATCTCCCCGTATGAGTCACAAGGCTGCCCTGTCAGGTCTGCGAGTAGGTCAGCCAGTCGACTTGCGTAGTGGTCTAGATCTTGAGCAACCGCAAGGTCGCTCCAATCTTCTTAGGATCATCAAGGAACAAGAACCTACTATTATTGTTATGTCACCCGATCACTCTCAGTGGTCTAGCTGGTACTCACAGTGGAAGAAAGGCTCTGCCAAGAGACTTTCTGTTTTAAAATTCTGTGAATCGGTCGCAGACCACCAAATGAAG